TAAATGTTTAGACTAAATAGCTTAAATCTCATAACATTATACATTTATATATATTTATTATTTTTATTATATTGACCTTTCACCCATGCCTAGCTAACAGTACAGAAGTTACAACACGGTTCACATGCACTCATGTTACCATACCAAATAACATAAAGGTGACCTTTGATCTGTATAAAGTAACTTGTCTTGGCTGTGTTTTATTTGACTAGTATTATGTAAAATAGTCACATTTCAGTTATAAAACATTATATATATGTATATAGATTATTGCTATTTTGAAATAAGTTCTTAAAGTTAGTTTTCCTAAAACTTATAACACTAACTAATGACGTAAAGCAAACAATTATCTCTTCTAGTTATGACCTTTGTACTCAGTTGCTGCTTGACATAGGTTGCTAAGTCTTTAAAAAATTTGCACTTGGAGAATATGAAAGAAAATATTTTTTCTAGATTATATACATTTGAATAACTAAAAAATCATAAATTACTACATTAATACCATAGAATTCCACTATAATTTATCAAGCTTAGTAACTAAGATGTATTTTAGTCTAAAAAATAATGAAATTTCAAGCAGACTAAAGACACACCCTACCTTGTTAAAATATTGGTTCAAAAGAAGAAAAAAAAACAGCTTCAAGCCTATTAAAACGGCCGAGAAAGCCACTAGGGAGACATTCTGAGCTTCCGATTGGTTATTCATGTCATTTCTAGAAGTAAGTGTATGTAAGGGAGCATTTCCAAAAATGGAAAGAAGTGGGCAGGGAACCACTGTGTTTGATTTATTTCATTAGCAATATCTTAGCAAACAGAAAAGATAAGAGGCTCTTATTTTATATTCTAGCTTGTCAATATCGGTAGTTTGAGTTTGATTCATGCAAAATTATAGACTTAGTATTTTGACTTCACAAATATCTAATTTGATCCAGTGCTGCATTCAACATACTATGTGACACACAAAAATTGATGCATGTTTTTTTTTTATATTCGCTTTTAAATTACGAAATTGAGTAATATATAGTACTAACATTTGAATTACAATCTACAGTTTGATAACAAAATTATTCACATAAATTCATGAAATAGTTCAATAAAATTTTGAATGCAAGTTAATAAACAAGATGACATGGCCTTTCACCCATGACCCTTCTCTAAATGGTTAATGGCTAAAACATGCAAAACTTAAGTTTACTTTTATCTCTCAAAACCCTCAATATAAACTTTCTAATCTAAGTGCTATAAAAGCACGGCCAAGTTTACCAAACACTCAATTTCATATTGAAAAAAAAATAACTAACACACCTTATAAAACTTTAACACAGCAAGTTTCACCTTCTTCTTCTTATGTTTGGTTTTCTTGGGAGTGGTGTAGTTCTTCTTCTTGCGTTTCTTGCCACCACCTCTTAATCTTAGAACTAAGTGAAGAGTAGATTCCTTCTGGATGTTGTAATCAGACAGAGTTCGGCCATCTTCCAGCTGCTTTCCAGCAAAGATCAGTCTCTGCTGGTCAGGAGGAATACCTAAAAAACGACAACAAAAATACAGTGACTTGTCTCAAGTTCTACATTCAACAGTAGTCTGACAAAACCATATGAATACATTTCAAAACAATTCTTTCACATCTTTGGTCTCACCCTTAGTTATTTTACATGTTCCAGAACTTAAAATTGTTGAATGTAAAGATCCAAAGGAGCACAACTGTAGATATGTGGCAATCAGAGAATAAGATACAGTAAATAATGTTTTATATCAAGGCCAATACATACAGGTCTAGTTTTTGTATTTTCCTGTTTGGGGTCACTTAAATTGTAAAGTTCAATAGTATGCCCAAAGATGGCAGTATTTATACAGAAGGAGAAACATCTATATGTTGATCATTTACAAATTTTGTGCTAATCTTTGTGTTTAACCATGGGGTAAAATCGTTACTTTAACAGAAGTCATTTTTTCAGATTATGACCACACACTCAGACTCAATCTTATGTACAGCAGAAACTGTCCACTTTCTTTTAAGTAATTTTAGTATAGAAATGTGTTCTGAAAATGATACTGGAACAGTAAAAATGTGCAATATTCTTCAAAGTTGTTAAATGTATGAAAGCACTGTAAATAATCATGTTTGCAAAAGAAAATTAGCTTCATTTTGGCTACAAAGACACTGTTCTCGAATTGACGTCTATGTAAACACTGTGGATATCTTACACTCGCAAAGCATGGATATCATATGAAATACTACCTTTTTAACCTTAATATTCAATAAGAAACAAATATTGCATATAGTCATTACCTAATACACATACTTTCAAATCTTTGTTGTTAAGTGCAAAGCTACACAATGGACTAACTGTGCTGTGCCCACCACAGGTATAGAAACCTGGTTCTTAGCATTATAAGTTTTTAGACTTACTGATGAGCCACTGGGATGATTGGGGGAAGGAGCTATCAAATAGTGACTAGAAATGATTGCTCACAAACAAACCCATTTTGAAGCATTCTTATCCAGTTCTGATATTTTTCTCTTTTAAGAATTGGACTTAACATACAATAATATTATCTGAATAAGTATATTTTGCTGATTTCCTGGGAGTTTGGGGTAGTTTATTTTCAACACCCAAGAGCTCCAGACTAATAATGATTCATGAAAACTCCTCAAAAGATTGAACCATGGATGACCTGCACCTAATCATGCAAAAACATTCACCTTTTCACATGCAGTCCTCCAGTGAGTCAGCAGTAAGTTTACAAATTTAGAATACTAAAATTCAGGGTTTAATTCCCCCTTGGTGGACAAAGCACAGATAGCCTATTGTATAGTTATGTGCTAAAACAAACAACACAATCACAAACATTAGAAGTTGGTCTCATGAAACGAAATGTTGTGCAAAATTAATGGGCATAATATATTATCCTCAACTTTTATGCTTTATTTGGGGGAAAACATTGCTATTTACATAGATAGCTTAGCAGCAAATATATTACACAGAAAATCAGGAATCAAATCCACTTGGATATCTCATCTGATTAGTCATTTAATTACATTCAGAATTGATCTTATACAGAATTCCATACTAGCTAACATTTATGTTAGTCACTTGTAACAACATATGAAGAGCAAATGATTTGTTATTAGCATTTTCTTTGTTGCTTGAAATTTGTTTCCAAATTCATATTAAACTGTTAGTGAGACTATTTTACTCAAAAACTGTGTTCAAAAGATATTTTTAGAACTAATTATTAGTTCATTTACAGATTTTCTTTACATTATTTCACCACTTCTGTAACCAACAAGATTTTGAAGTAAAGAAAATGTCATTTCTACATGTGTTACACTGAAAAACATTGTTTATCTGTAGCACAAAGGTACTTAATGGGCTAACTAGGTTCTGTTCATCACAGGGAATCAAACACCAGATTCTAACAATTTAAGTCTGAAAACTTACTGCTTACTTTTGGGGCATAGGACCAAATATTTTTTAAAAGTAATTCCTTTATTTTATTATGTGTTTGAAGTAAAAAGAAATATTTTCTATTTTGACTTCTTATAAGTGTGTTTAACACTTCCTTTGATATACAGGTTCATTTTTTTGTTGTTTTTGTGGTCAAAGGCATAGTTCAATTCAACTAATCTAACAAGGACAAACTAACTTGCTAAATGCTGTAATCTAAAGTGATCAAGTTCATACAGTAGACCATGTGGCAACAGCATAACCACAGCCAAGAACCAGTAACCTAAAAGCTTGTCTAATCATACTGGCAGGAATTATTTATGTCACATTCTAATGGCACAAGGCATATCAGCCAGTTGGCATCATGGAAAGTTTACAGACCCTTTTCCAAAGGGCAGAAGATTATGAGCTATCTATTTTCATTAGTATAAAACAGAAATGAACAAATTTCTTTTCATATCAAATAAAGTTATGCATTTATTTCAGTCTTATACTCACAAGAACTGACTATAGGAATTGTGATAGTATTTGGTGAGTTTCTTACATAAATTTCAATTATTGTGCTGCCCAATGCCTATCTAGTCCCAAGGGTTGATAGGGGTGGATGCTATCAAGTTTTGGTAGCTTGAAGTTCTGAGAAAAATTTGCAGCTTTACAAATATCACAAAGGAATGATTTACAAGAATAGCAAATCTAGTATGGAGAACTATACAATTATTATAACAAAAACAAAGAAACAATAGATTTGTAATCAAATGTTTCAAGAACTAATATAGTGGTCAGCATAATTCTATTACAACTTTTGCATAGAAATGTGATGTACGCAGATAGGTTTAATAAATTTGATACTAACATAATTATAGTTCAGCTTATTCTGATTGGGCGACCCCAAATCATTCAGCCTACATGCAGTGTTACCTAAGCAGGTGAACAAACTAATGGATTGCTTCTTCCTCAATATTTCAATTTTTTTCCTTTCTAAATTCATCAAATTCAAGACCTGACCATGGTCTGCAAATTATTTTTATAATTGTATTTGTTTATTACAAGTGAGAATAAAAGTAATATGATCAAACATAGTATTTTGACAGTTTTTATAGTCAATTCTGGCTGTCAATACATTCAATGCATTGAAATAAGACTAACTTAGTAAGTCCTTACACAAAGTACTCTTACGATAACCTAGGTGTACCCCCTTTCACTTTTGGGGGTATATTCAACTTTTGTTTGTTATGAAACTATAAAGTATATGTATATGGAATTTTCAACAGTCACATGACAGTGTTATCTGTTGATTGTAATACACAATAATTTAAAGAGAAAAATTATTTGTTGCAAGATTTTTCAAAATTTCTGCAAATGCAATGCATTTCTTTACTTATATATCTCTGAATTTGATAGAGTTCGAAATGTATGTTTTTTTCACATTTAATCATGTTTCTTTTCAGTGAATGATCCAATTTCAATAAATTGTCAAATATATAAAGTAAATAAAAATATAAAACATCATTCACTCAGAAAACCTCAAACTATAAACAGATGAAGTCATTTTATAGAAACTAAAAAACAACTTCAAGTACCAACTACTGTATGCTCAGTTTATCACTTTGTAAATGATAAAATGAGTAACACCTTTATTATGGGGGCAACAAATCTAAGTATTGATAGAAATCAATGAAAAAATAACAGAACAAAGAGTAGAAAATAACATGGTCTGGAGAAAAAAGAAGTGCTTTGCAGTGAACATCCAATTACGACCAGTTAGCAACTTTGAGGTGTTGAATAGATACC